TCCCAACAGCCCCGAGAGGGAGGTCAGTGACCTCTGCTTCCCGGATCTCTTTAGCCGCCATGTCCCTCTGGTGCTTCCCCCCCCCCCAGACGAAGATCGGGGCCGGCCGCCTGATGGGCCCGAAGGGTGTGGCCGTGGACCGCAACGGGCACATCATCGTGGTGGACAACAAGGCCTGCTGCGTCTTCATCTTCCAGTCCAACGGCAAGCTGGTGGCCAAGTTTGGGAGCCGCGGCACGTCAGAGCGGCAGTTTGCAGGTACCCTCGATGGTAATACAGCCACAGGTTCCCTCTCGTTGCTACTGCATGCCTTTGGCTTCTGCCGGGGCCAGGCCGGGACCGGGCCGGTGAGTACTGCCCTCGGGAGCTGCGCTGGCCGTGGGCCTGGGGGGGCCGGGGGCTCTCCCCGCCATCAGCGCTCCCGGGGGGGGAGGGGCGGCGGTGGGGGTGGGGTTGCCTGGCTTGTGCGCTCTGCCCTGTGGGCGTTCTGGGCTCTGGCCTGCCTCCTGCCGGGGGGGCCTCTGCTCTCGCGGCTCTTTTCCACTCTCTGGACTAATGGTTCCGCTGGCTGGTGTGATGATCACTAATTCAGCTCCACCTCTTTCGGGTCCTGCCCTTTCCTCTTTCCACTGTTAACAGTGCACTCGAGCGGCCTTTGCACAGGAGTCGTTTCACAGGGAAATTTCGCCGTCAGGTGGCAGATACCTGTAAGGCACCCCACAGGGTGAGGCACCGAGACAGCTGCCTGACCGTCTGCCACTCAGAACGAGTTCTTCCTTTCCCATATTGCTGCAAAGGCTTCCTTCTCTGCACAGCAGGGCCCTTTGGGAAAGATCCAGGAGGTTGTGGCTCACGGGTCCTTAAAGCAGAGGCCCAAACGAAGGGGGGAAAGCTTTTATTACCCCAACACCTTGGAGGTGGAACCCTTCAGTCCTTTCCTAGAAACCTGCCACCAAGAGATTCCCCACCACCACACACAGACACACCCTGTTCTGCATCCCTCCCTGGTGCTCTTAGTCCCAAGGGAGGAGGAGATTGGAGTTATACCCCACCCTTCACTCCCCACGACTGACACCCCGTGAGGTAGGTGGGGCTGAGAGAGCTCTTTTGAGGACTGCTCCTGAGAGAAGAGCTCTGAAAGAACTTATGGCTTGCCCAGGGTCACGCCAGCAGCTGCAAGTGGAGGAGTGGGGAGTCAAACCCGGTTCTCCCAGATTAGACTCCGCGCACTTAACCACGACCCCCGACTGGAGGTCCGTGTCTGTCTGTCAGTCTGTCTGTCTGTCTGTGTGCGTGGTGAGGAGAGGCAAGGGGCTTGAGAGTTCTCGTCCCCCCCCCTTTCCCCTCCCGCCCCTCGGTTGCTCGGCCGGCACCGTGCTCTCGGCCCCTGGTTGGGTTCTGGTCGCCAGCTGCAGGGGCCTGGCTCTCCAACGCAGTCAAGCCAGACGTCAGGTCGTTAAAGGGACATATCTTCAACACCTAGGCATAAATCCTCGTAATCACACGTAATTGGGAATACTCACCTGAGCGGTAGCTGAAGGCGGGGGACTAACCGGAAAGTGTGGGGTCTAGCGAGAGCGGTGTGTCTCACAGAGGCCTCTGGACTGGGTGCGAGAGAACCGGAGCTGGACAGAGGGAGTCCCGAGTCTGGCACACCCAGGCCAGGCGGGTGGGGGCTGGCCCCCTTTCCTGGAGACCACGCGTCCTCCGGGGGGGGGGGGCCCCGGGAACACGAAAAGGAACTTGCTACCCCCCCCCCCCCCCAGTCTTGGATTGTTGATTTTAGGGCTCCAAGATGGGATATCCCCTCGTGGCCCCTCTTACTTAACCAAACAGTGAGCTATTTCTCCCCAAAGTTCCCAGCCCGCCCTTATTCTATACTGGACTGCCCTTTTCCTGATTGTGACCGCAGGTTTTTTGTGGTTGGGCTCACGGGTGTGTTCCCAAGGTCCCATTTCCTTCTCTCATCACAACGCGAGGTTCCTCAACGTGTTCCTGGAGTGTGTGATGGGGGGGGGGCTTCTCTCCAAAGTTGGCAACGGGTGGTGGTGGTGGTGGTCAATGTTCCCTCTAAGCTGTGGAGTCCTGTGAGCCAAAATTCTACTTTGTGAGCTACCGGCATTAAAGTTGTGAGCAGGTAGTTTGGCTGCTGCATAAAATTAGTTTGCTCTGGAGCCCTCCTTCCTGAGCTAAGACAAAAATGTGTGAGCTGGATGCTAAAAAACTGTGAGCTAGCTCACACTCACTCAGCTTAGAGGGGAACACTGGTGGTGGTGGGATTAATTGGGTCCTCCTTCTCTCTCTCAACCACCCACTCGAGCCTCCTCCTAAGCGCCTGCATCTCCCGCATCTCAAAAAGGTTTGCATTCTCTCCGCAGGACCTCACTTTGTTGCCGTCAACAACAAGAATGAGATTGTGGTCACCGACTTCCACAACCATTCTGTGAAGGTAAGAGCTGAGCCTGTCAAGTCTTTCTTTTGGCAGAGATCGTGGGGGGGGGGGGGGGGGGGGGCTTCCCTGTGCCAGTGGCCCTGGAGGCCAGCGGTCAGTCATTCCTTAGGCACCCTCCCTGCGAGGGAGGCAGCGGAGTTCAGAGGCCGGCAGTGTCATTCAAAATAAAACAGCAAACAGCCTCACTGTGTGTTGGAAAGACTTTTGCTGAGCCTGGTTTTTAACACATCCCATAATAACAAGCTGAGGAAGTGCTCCTGGGAAATAATCGTGCACGAACTGAAGCCACGGTTCTTCTCCTGAAAGGACAGCCTTGAACCCGGAGAGAGGGAGGGAAGGAGGGAACCGTGGGGCTTGGATGTGGGATCCAGACGCTGACAGGCCGCCCACGCCACGTAAAGGCAACAAACCCTCCTCCCAGGCTACACTGACGGCCACGTGCAAGCACCCTTGGCTTGTCTTTATACATGTGCGGAACAATTCTCATGTTACGTTCAATGTGTGTGTGTGTGTGTGTGAAGCCCCTCCTCGATCCGGGTCCTGGTCCCTGGACGCACCTGGGCTCTTCCTTACAAACAGACGGACACACATGCACGCAGGTGTAGAAGGAGAAGAGATTGGATTCATACCCCATGGCCCTTCACTACCCAAAGGAGTCTCAGAGCGGCTCACAAACTCCTTTCCCTTCCCCTCCCCAGAACAGACAGACACCCTGGGAGGTGGGTGGGGCTGAGAGAGCTCTTGACAGAAACTGCTCTTTTTCAAGGACAGCTCTGAGAGAACTTGTGACTGGCCCAAGGTCACACCAGCAGCTGCATGTGGAGGAGTGGGGAATGAAACCCCGTTCTCCCAGATTAGAGTCCACACACATAACCACTACACCAAACTGGTGTACATGTGTTCAGTGTAATATGTGTTCAGTTTGGTCTAGTGGTTAGGAGCACAGACTCTAATCTGGGAGAACTGGGTTTGATTCCCCACTCCACCTCCACCTGCACCTGCTGGATGAC